TTTGCGTCCCACTAACTGCCCCGCCGCGTGACCGCGTTGAATATCGTCTACTATGTAACCAGTTAGGGGTGCAACGACACGGCGAGTCCCTTTTATGTTGTATTTGCTGTGGTTTTTGTTTTTGTTTGATTTCGTGTTTTTGTTTTGTTTGTTTGATTGTGTGCTTGTTTGTTTGTGGTTTTGAGTTTTGTCGAAGGCACCATTCTATTCATTAAGTCAGAATAGGATGATTTGCATTATTTGCGTCTGTCACACAGCAATTTGTTATCAAGAAGTAATGTAATGAACCACAAAGGTCATGTGAGAATCTGCTTCATAAGAGAAAATTATAACATCCTGATCCTGTCTCCCAGCACACACACACACACACACACACACACACACACACACACACACACACACACACACACACACACAAACAAACACACAGACTAACCGTGCCCACCCCCCCGTCCCCAGGATCCCTGAGAGTGCGGGTGACACAGAGGAAGCCACGGAGACCACTCACCTCAAGGCCGATTTCGAGAAAGGTATGTCTGTTTGTTCGTGGTTGTCAGTGTGTCTGTTTGTTTGTGTGAACCCCACATTTAGTTTTGTTATTGTTGTTGTCGTTGTTTTTTGTGTTTTTTTTACACTGTTGATTTATCTACATGCATGAGAAATAATACATAACATAATATAGGCGTATATATTGTAGTTTTGTCTGAAGGCACGCGTATACACTATACCCTAGACGGTCATCTAAGCTATGATCGCCTAGACTATACCGGGGGGCTCTCGTGGCCTTAGAGGTTAAGGTGTTGGCCTCTCATTCAAAGGTCCCTGGTTCGAATCCGGGTAGCGACCGAAAAATTTTCTTATCTAAAATTGTCTCCTTTCACCTACTTTCCTGATCTCTAACAATGTTCTGTTGTCTACTTTCATTTCCACTTTCTGCCCCCACCCCTCACCTCCTTTGTCCCCTCCTCTGGGCTCCTGACTCTTTCTGCAGCCTTTCTACTGCTACTCCTTGGCTCCTCCTTACTGCTGTCTT